ATGAGAATTGGGATGGGGATGAGATGAAATGGAGATGGGAAATGGGATGGGGTGGGAATTGGGGTGGGATGGATTTGGAATTGGGGTGAGATGGGGATGAGAATTGGGGTGGGATGGGGATGGAATGAAATGGAGCTGGGGATGGGATGGGAATGGGATGAAATGGCTGTCAGTGTGACCCTATAGGGGGCTATGGGGGCCGTGTGACCCCACGGGGGCGCAGCAGGGGGGCCGTGTGACCCCTTTCCCCCCCCAGGAGCCTCGTGCGTCCTGCGGGACAAATTCTCTGCCTCCCATTTCTGGGACGAGTGCTGTGCCGAGGGCGTGACGGTGTTCCAGTACATCGGGGAGCTGTGCCGCTATCTGCTCAACCAGCCGCAGGTCCCTCAGCTGCGGGGTTTGGGGTCCATCCCATCCCACCCCATCCCATCCCATCCCCACCCCACCCCACCCCATCCCACCCCCACCCCACCCCCACCCCACCCCACCCCACCCCACCCCATCCCATCCATCCCCACCCCACCCCATCCCATCCATCCCCACCCAATTCCCATCTCCGTGTCATCTCAAGCCATCCCGCTTCACATCCACCGCCCCCCATCCCGGAGATGAGGATGGGATGGGAATTGGGATGGGATGGGATGGGAGTGGGATGAAATAGAGATGGGGATGAGATTGGGGTGGGGATGGGATGGGAATTGGGAAGAGGGTTGGGTTGGGATGGGATGGGAGTGAGATGGGAATTGGGATGGGATGAAATGGAGGTGGGGATGGGATTGGGATTGGGAAGAGGGTTGGGTTGGGATGGGATGAAATGGAGCTGGGGATGAGATGGGGTGGGGATGGGATGGGGATTGGAAAGGGGTTTGGGATGGGATGGGACGGGGTTGGGAGGGGCAGTGGGTTGGGGGATGGGATGGGGATGGGATGGGGTGAAATGCAATGGGATGGGGTGAGATGGGATGGGATGAAATGGGATGGGATGGGATGGGATGGGATGGGGTGAAATGGGATGGGATGGATGGGATGGGGTGAAATAGGATGGGATGGATGGGATGGGGTGAAATGGGCTGAAATGGGACGGATGGGGATGGAACTGGGGTGGGGATCCGTGCCGACCCCCCAATAAAAACAACCCCCGACCCCCAGCGCCCCGCAGAGCGGCAGCACCGCGTGCGGCTGGCGGTGGGCAGCGGGATGCGGGCCGACGTCTGGCGGAGCTTCGTGCGGCGCTTCGGGCCCCTGCGCGTGGTGGAGACGTACGGCCTGAGCGAGGGCAACGTCACGCTGCTCAACTACAGCGGGGCGCCCGGCGCCGTGGGCAGGAGCAGCTTCATTTATAAGGTGGGGGTTGGGGGTCCTGGGGGGGCTGGGTGTCGCGTGGTCGCGGTCTGTTGAGGATTCCGCCCCCCTGTCCCCCCCCCGTCCCCCCCGCAGCTCTTCTCGCCCTTTGAGATCGTGCGCTACGACACGGAGAGCGGCGCGGCTCTGCGGGATGAGGGCGGGCGCTGCATCAGAGTGCGGCCGGGTGAGGGGG